GAGATCCCACAATGACAAGTGAGATCCATCGATGCAGGAGCCTGCAGGTCTCCCCAAAGAGGCGTTTGCAGAGGAAGAAGGGGCTCTCTGTCCATTTTATTTTCACAAGGAAAATGGCTTTAGATGCATTTTTTTCTGACCACAAAAACTAGTGACAGCTTTGTTGAGCAAATTGCTCCCTGTAAAAGTTTCAGACAAAACAAAAGTTATAAGGAAGAAAGAAATTCATCTCTAATCCCAACCACCTGTACATAGGTAGCCATTACCAAGATTTTGGTGGATTTTATTCCACTTCTTTTTTGATAATATGAGAATATGTTATATTATCATAACAACATCAAAAGCTTGCATTAAGCTCTGAGTTCCAGGCTCTGTGCCTCTTGTGCATTCCTAAACACTTTCGGGCAAGGAAACTGGAGTCCAGAGGTTCATGCAGCTCATGGTTAATGATGGTGCAAAAGGAGCAGCACTCTGGTCTCCTGACTTCCAGCTCTGGCTGCTGTGTCACCCTTAGACACATACTTGTTTTCTCTGGTGTGGGCAATTTGCCTGATGGCTGAGAGTGTTCTTTGCAGGTCATTGGCGTATATGTGGGGCTGGAGCTGTGATGGGTGGGAGCTTCAGGGTTGGTGGGGGCTGGCAGGCTGAGGCAGGGCTGAGTGGCATCCTTGACTCTGGCCATCACCTTCCAGGTGCTATACTTCATAATCTATGTCGTGAGCTCAGTGTTCTGTGGGCACCTGAGCAAAGTGGAGTTGGCGTCAGTGACTCTCCCGGTGACCGTGAGTACAGCTGTGACTGTGCGGGGTTGGTCTCTCCCGGGCTTCTCCCCTGGGCTTCCAAGAAGACACAGTTATGACCTGAGGCCCCTTCTCATTGGGCTGCAGCACATGCAGGTGGACAGGGCTGGCCAGGAGTGGTCTCTGGTTCAGCTGCACATCAGAGCTGCTGCTGGGTTGCCTCCCCTTCTTGAGCCCTGCCTGACAAGCCTTGTGTTTTCTCCTATGTATGGCTCCAGTTTGTCAATGTCTGTGGGATTTCCAGAGGATTTGGCTTTTCCTCAGCCTGTGACACCTTAATGTCTCAGGTAGGTGGGCCTCCATGAGCTGGGCAGGAGCAGAGCCTATCCCTCAGCTGCTAGGGGAGGAGGACTCCCCCCACAAAGGTCCCTCAGTGTGCCCTGGAGCTGGGAGCTTGTCAAAAAGACACTGGGGGAGGGAGCAACAGCCCCCCACCGCCACCCGCACCACCAATCCCTAAGGAAGAGTACTGTCAGGGAACCAGACTTTCCTGTTGAAAGAGTCTGTGCAGATGGGCAAGAGAACCGTGGAGACAGTTCCCTGCCCTAGTGTGTCAATCCTGAGGGTGCACAGTTGGGATCCCCCTGACCTCGGGGACCCACAGCCCAGTGAGGCTCAGCTGACCCCCGGGATTCTGGGCTCATGATGGACCTGGAGACCTGGGCATCTGGGTTCAGCTCTGGCTGTCACTTACCAGCAAGTGACTTGACAAATGCGCTTGGAACCTCCTATGTCTCAGCTGTGATGTGGGGGAATAACGCTTGCCTCATTAGCGGCTTTTGAAAAACTGGGGACAACAGGTAGACAAAGTCTGGTACTCAGTAAACTATTATAATTCTGCGAGGAGGCTCATCCCCTGCAGAGGGAGCCGCCCAGGCTGTACCTAGGGTTGCCACATGTCAGCTACTGACTGGTGCCTGTTGTGCGCAGGGGCCACTCACAGCACTAGCACGGCTAGCAGGCTCACACACTGGTTGAGCTCACTGGAGAGATGGGGAAGGTGCTGAGCAAAGGGGGTGCTGTTTTGCAGGTCTTTGGCAGCCCCAACAAGAAGCACGTGGGAGTCATCCTGCAAAGGGTCACGCTCATACTGCTTCTCTGCTGCTTCCCCTGCTGAGCCCTCTTCCTCAACACCCAGCAGATCTTGCTGCTTCTCAGGCAGGACCAGGACGTGTCCAGGTACCACTTGACTTCTGCTGGGAAGCCTGGAAGGGAATGGAGCCCCTAAAGAAGCCCACCCCCTAGGCCCCATGCTCCTCTGGCTCACAGGAGGTCGGTCACAAGAGCAACTTCTCTAGAGACGATTCTAGGGTAGGTTTTGGGATATGCACACACAGCGTGCTGCTCCAGCTGTGACCAGCAGGAGGCTGACAAATGGCCAGTTTTAATTTAAGAGGAAAGAGAAAAATAAAGAATTTGCATGTTATTCATAATGATGTCCCAACACTAGGTGGAACTTCACAGATGCTTTTGAAGAAATGAAATGTACACTACCCCGTATTCCAAAAAGGAGAAAGAGGACCGAACCAATTTCTGATGAATTATACAGTTTATTATTAATTTTAGAAATTCCATGTTACATGCACTTCATTTGGTTATTTCTTGATAAGATAGAACTTTTTACCTCCTTTACAAACCAAATGTCACTGCACATTTGGGTTCTCTAGTCATGAGGCCCCTGTGGTTGGGTACTTGGGCTCCACCTGATGGCACCTTCCTGTCATAACTGCTAAAGTTTCACTTGCCTTGGCGGAGAATTGCAGCATCTGGGAAAGCCTCTCAGCAGACCCAGGGTGCTCAGGATGTCCCCAGTCGAGGAGGGCACAGCCTGGTCAGCTCCAGAGCTTCCGGTTCTCTTGCAGGCTAACACAGGAATGCGTGCTGATTTTCATGCCAGCGCTTCCGGTAAAGTGCCACCGCTGGCCCTGGAGGAGGGTAGGGTGGGCTTACACTCTCCCAAATTCTGGGTTTTTTTTGCCTTTTCACCCTATCTGCTGGGGAAGTCCATCGGCCACAGAGACTTTCCACTGTGCCGTGAAGATGGCCGAAGTGGCAGGAGAGAAGTTCCCCTTCCAGTCAGTCAGTGCAGATTAAACTTTTAAAAAATAACAGAACGTGTTTTTGTGATTAGAAAACCCCTCATTGAAGAAATTGTAGAAAGCCTGGGAAAGAAAAATGTCAAATCACCTATAATCCTACCATCCAGATAGAACATAGGTTAGTATTTCTTTCCAGGATTGTTTCTATTCATGGGTGTGCGGTTTCAAACACACATATATAGTTTGAAATGGGACCAATGTGTGTATATTGTATTATAACTTGCTTTTTCCCTTTCAAATATGTCATTAGTCTCTTGATATGATTAAACAGCTTTCCACAATAACCATTTCAAAAGCTACATGGTATCTATATATCCAAGTAGTGCCATAATTTATTAACCAATCCCTATATGTTAAGTATTTAGGTTGTTTCCAATATTCACTATTATAAACAAGATTTGATAAACATTCAAATCATTTCAAACATTTGATAAACATTTCAAATCATTCAAGATTTGAAAAACTTTGGGAACATCTGTATTGATTTCCTGAAGATGCATTATTGTAATTGGAGTTACTCAGTCAATGGCTTTTGATACCAATTTATACCAATTCTACTCCCACTGGTAACACTCTCATCAGCACAGAGTATTATTATTAAATTTTTTTCTAATTAGGAATTGTTTGAACATAACTTTTATTGACAGTGAAGTTGAACATTTTTGTCATGTATTTATCTATCATTTGTTTTTCTTCCATGAATTGTTTATACCCTTTGCTTATTTTAGTAGGTTAATATTTTTCTAATTATAATAATGTGTTGAAAAGTATCTTAATGCTTTGCCATATATGTTGCAAACATTTTTCAGTTTGTCACTTGCTTTGTAATTTTTTGATATTTTTTACTTAAAGAATTTCTAATGTATATACAACAGGTCCATAAATCCTATCCTTTATGATATCTGTCTTTGATGAGCTTAAAAACACTTAACCCACATCAAGATTATATAAACATTTGCCTATATTTTCTTCGATCCCTTATATGGTTTCCATTTTTACATGTAAGACTTTATCTAACAAACTTTTTCAAAGACTAATTATTGACTTTCTTTTCTTTCTCTTCTCCATAAATTTACTAAATACTAAATAAGCAGGGTGTATACTCGGGTTAGTTTCTGAGATTTCTGGCCTGACCCAGTGGCCTGTATATCTACTCTGGAATCCACTGCTATACTATTTGATTCGTTGAAGCTTAGTGATGCATGTTACTTATTCCCTGGCAGTTCTGTATCAGGGATCGCCTTGCCCACTGGAGTTTATCTTCCCATCTCTAGAACTGCAGCACTCCTTTATTCTGCATGGCACCAGGGGCTGAAGTTCTTGAGGAGGGAGCTGGGAAGGGAATGGGTCAGGTGAATTCAGGATGTTTAAAGGATGTCCGGGTCTGGCAGGGTGTACCCTGGCCACACCTGCACTGAAAGGCCGGTGCCATGACCTCTTTGGTGCCCGGCCAGCTCCAAATTCCTTCTGTATCATGGAAACCACCTGAAAAGGCTGGTGTTTCTCCTTTAAGCCTTCCTTTGAAACCATGCTTTGGCTCTTCAAACCAAGGTGATAGTATCTTGTCAAACAGCCATTGGGGCGGGATCAGGAGAAAACATCCTATTAAGTTATCACTGTGGCAACTCCTTTATCAAAGCAAATCTCTCCCACAAAATGCAGCTGCAAAAACTTAATTACTAATAAAATAATAATAATAATACTTGCATGATGCTTACTTAATACTTGGAATACTTAAATACAGTGCCAAATACTGTTTTGTAAGCACTTTGTATATATACATGTAGTATACATGCATTATTATCCTCAGTATGTATGTGGAAACAAGCAAGAGAGGTTATGTAACTTGCCTAAAATCACACAGGTGAGGCTCATGGGCTTTGGGGACCTGGATGGGGAGTACTGCCCACCAAGTGCCTTACCCTTGACTGGGGCAGGTCAGTTATCATCTTTGCCTCACCCATGCCAAAGATTGTGGAGGCTGCCCACACTGTCCAAAAGTGGAGGTGAGGCCATGGGGAACTTGGTGGGGACTCCCCATCAAAGAGACAAGAAGAGCCACTCCCCATACCTGCCCCTGCCTGCCAGGAGAGGCCAAGGGTGGGACCCTGGCAGGAGAGTGTAGTATGGTGCCAGCGGCTCCTGGGTGAGGCCAATCCCAGATGCGGGGGCTAGGTGAGCCATGCCTCAGTCCCCACCTCCCTATGCTGGCTTCAGCAGGGGAGCCTCCTCCTCCCCAGGGCCAGCTCTGCTCTCTCTCCTTTCCCAGGGGCTCTGCTTGTGCCAACACCATCTCCCAGTTCGTGCAGACTATCTTCCTTTTTCTTTACATTGTGCTAAAGAAGCTGCACCTGGAGACATGGACAGGTGGGGAGGGCCTCCCTACCTTTGGGGGACCTGAGCAAGTGAGCCGCTAGTGAGCCCCCGGCACAGGTACCAGTGTTCCCTTGGGAGGCAGAGGGCCCAGGTGGAGCCCCACTGTAGGAGCCCCATCCCGGGTTTGACTTTGTTTTCCTTCAGAGCATCCCTTCTCCTTTGATTTACTTCTCAGCACCCACCCCCAAAGGCCCTGGGTCCCACCACCTTGTGAGTCACAGTACAGAGCCCTGCTGAGAACAGGCTCAAGGGACTTTCCACAGTCCCCTTGATCTCAGGATGGTGATTAGAGTAATAATGATAACAGGTGAATTCCTACATGTCAGCAGAGGGCCAGGTGCCAGACATTCCCGACCTCTATTAAGCTTCACAACATCTTATCATTCTCATTTTATTTACCTGGAGGAAATTGAGACAGAGAGGTTAAGCAATTTGCCCAAAATGCCAGAGGTGGTACATCAGGGAAGGCTGGATTCAAACCCATGCCTGTCCACTCTCGGGCTTTGGGTCCAAGCTTTCTGCCTCCTGAAACCTAACTCTGTAACCTGTAGGCTCCATTTCCAGGCATTTCAGGAACAACTCTAGGGCCCCTGGGCCTCATTCAGGGGGCAAGACAGTCCTGCATGGCTGCACCCCGCTCCAAGTCTGCAAAGCTCTATCTACATTGTGAATCCTCTTGCACGGTCGATCACATACCATCCTCCCAACAATCCTTTGAGGAGGCAGGGCAAAGATAAGGACTCAAATTTTCAGTTGAGGAAACAAAGCCCAGAAATGGCATGGTAGTTGCCCAAGATCTTATGGTGTCATAGGCACGGTGGGGACCCCTGCCTGTGCCTGAGGCTCCCACCCTGAACTGTTCTGTGCCACTAGCCAGGTAAGCTGATGCCCTGTCCTTGCATCATCTTCCCACCCCCACCAGCACTGGACCAGCTGGCATGTCCTATGCAAAATGCCAAGTGCGTGGACCTGCTGAGCTGAGCCCAGGAGTGGGCAGAGCCAAAGGCCATCAGTGGCTCTTGGTAGTGGGCAGGAACACTGGGTGGGCTGCTGCTCAGCAACTGGGCCTTCTGTTCCTAGGCTGGTCCAGCCAGTGCCTGCAGGACTGGGGCCCCTTATTCTCTCTGGCTATCCCTAGAATGCTCATGATGTGCATTGAGTGGTGGGCCTACGAGATCGGGAACATTGTCATGGATATGCGGAAGAGCAGGGCGGAAAAACAATGTTGGTGACTCACCCAGCCCGGAAACCTCCTCCCAGAATGGGTAGTTCAACAGCCCAACCCAGTCTAGATCAGTTGCTCATTTGTCTCCCCACCAGGCTGTGAGTTCCCAGAAGGCAGGCCTGGGCCTTTTGTGTTGGGACCCCAGCATTGCCCAGCATAAGCCTGGCACTGAGTGGATACCCAGGTGGAGGTAGATGAGTCAATAAAAGAGTGAGAAATTGAATGGACTGGAGGTGTGTGAGCTTGAACAGCATGGCGGGTGTGGGGCCCTCACCTGATGCGGTGTGTACTCATCAGAACACTCAGCACAGAGTCCAAACAACCTGAGAATCAGGTTGGTGCTGGAGTAGCCCCGAGAGACCTTGGCCTCCAAAGCGAGAGACATTCTGTTAGCCCAGGGTCCCTTAGCTGGCCCCAGGGCCAGGTGCTTACCTCGTGCTCTCCTGCAGGCCTGCTCAGAGTGTTGGACCTCTCGGCTCAGTCCATCATCTACGAGGTGGCCACCGTAATCTACATGGTGAGGCTCCTCAGGGGTTCCTTTGCCAATCCCTCCACCCCTGCCCAGCCCCACTGTTGTCCTGGGGGTATGTAGGAGAGGGGTAACCTGTCACCCCAAGGGCCATCTCTGTCTTCTGAGGGACCCTCCTGGACTTCCCATGCCCATCGGGTCCAGGTCCTGCCAGACTCACACACGGGTGGCCCACAGACACTTCACTAGGGGAAATATTGAACTCATGTAATGTTAGAATTTTTAAAAATAAATTAGCACCATTTAAAAATTGGGAGATTTCACATCATAATCTGGATTTTTGCATTTTCTTGCAAAGTGGGACATTCCATTTAGCCATGGGCTCATGTTCTTGCACATCCCAGTAGGAGAGAGCGGGGGTACCTGGTGGGACACTATACCCCAGCTCTCTCCTACTGGGATGTGCAGTAGGAGGGGTGAGGATAGGTCTCCTCCAACTTGATCCCCAGTGCCCCCCTCTCTCCACAGGGACATGGGTTGTCCCATGTCACTCATGTACAAATCTGCCAGGCTCCTGGGGTTATGCAGTCTGTGACCCCAGGTTTAAGCCAAGGGTTCACAAAAATCTGCACTTATAAACTAATTTATAAGGTGATTCTTATTTTTACAAATGGGTCCACTGATTGTTTTCTTTAAAGAGGGCACTTTTCTGGCAAATTTAGGGCCACACTCAAGTCTTTAAAATTCATTTACTCATGAGTTTTGGGGAGCACAATGATTTTGGTTGAAAGGCCAGTCTATGGGTGATGTTTGGAGTGGGTGGGGGTGGGATTGGGTAGCTAACTTAGGGTATTCCGACCCCATCTCCTAACCTAAGATGTCACTGCCTGTTGTCCGCATCCATGAATGTCCTCTCTCCTCATGCTGCTTCCCAGGGATTTGTCCTGTCTTCCTGCTCTCTCCACTCATGGCCCAAATTGGAGGGCAGGAGCACTGCTCCACTGCCAGCCCAGGCTTCTTCCGGACTCAGCACCCACCCCATCCCAGGGGCAGAAGGGTGGCTCCACTGACAGCGTCTTTTTATCTCTGCTCCCAGATTTCCATGGGGCTCAGCACCGCGGTCTGCGTTCGAGTAGGAACGGCCCGGGGAGCTTCAGATACTGTGAAAGCGAAGCAATCAGCCATCTCTGGTGTGCTTTGCACAGGTGGGCAGAGTCTTCTGCTAGTGGGTGGGGACTTGGAAAGCTAGAAAGTCAATAGCTTGGGCCAGAGGAGAGCCTGCACATTGGAGTCAGGGCTGGCCTTAGGAGCAGACAGGTTTATCATCCAAATTTACTATACCTGCATGCAATCTGGCCCAGAGCGGTCCCTGCTGATGAATTGACGGTGCGCCCCTCCCTAACCCACCCCAGTAGCAAACATCTCTCTTGCCTGCTGTGCCCCTTTCCCACTCCTTCTCTGCTGCTAGGGTTCTGGGCCTTCCAGCCACAGCTCGCCAATTTCCATAACTCACTTTTGTGTGACCCTGCAAAGGCCTTTCCTCTCCACGCATCTCCCTCCAGCCATCCAGGGTCCTCTTGTAAGCTTCCCCTCCCAGCATCCCCAGGAGCTTGGAACCTGCCCATCCCACCCCTCAGAAAGAACCAATCTTGTGTCCTCTACCATGTCTCTGCTTTCTGAGGCTGACAGATTCAGATCAGAGCCTCTGTGAAGAACAGTGGTTCATAGACTTCAGACTGCATTGGAATCCCCTGAAGGCAATGTCAAAACACAGATCGCTGAGCCATACCACACTAGGCAGAGTTTCTGATTCAGCAGATCGAGATGCTGCTGCTGCTGCTGCTGCTGCTGCTGCTGCTGCTGCTGCTGCTGCTGGTCCAAGAACCCTACTTGGAGCACCTTGGGTAGAAAGGCATTTTATATATTGTCCTTCCTACAGGACTGTAAAAGAGTGTCTTAGTCCAAGTGAATGACTCTAATGCAGGGAACTTCAGGCTCCTGGGCTGGGTGTGGAGGGCTGGGCTGACTTGTGCTGACCTAAGCTGGGCTTCTTCATGGGTTGGGTTCAGCCAAACACTCTCCTTTTGTCTCTTCCAGTCGGCACTTCACTGGTTGTGGGCGCCCTGTTGAGCATCCTGAAAAATAAATTGGGATATATTTTTACTGATGATGAGTAGGTAATCAGTTTTCTTCACTGACTTCTGGGAAATGTCAGAGTGGTTTGCAGCCAGTCCTCAGACACTTGTCACATGCCTGGCTCAGCAACGGGTCCAAAGGAAGCAGGACTAGCTCCAGCTTTGCCCTCACTGAGAGAAAGCCAGCATCTGTGCTTGTTTCTCCCAGGCCATAGCCTCCACCACTTGCTTGTCCAAAGACAAAATGATAGTCAAAGGGCAGTACAAAACTGAGGGCTCTTCTAGAGTTTAAGAAGACTCATAGACATGTAGAAACTCAGGGCTAGGCTGTCAATTAGGTTCCTAACATGTTGGGGGCCGTAATAGAAGGGATATAGCTGGGTCTCTAAGACTATAGTCATGTCTTAGTGCTCCAAATGAATGTTTTTCCTGTTTCTTCTGCAGAGAAGTCATTGCCCTGGTGAACAAGGTCTTGCCGACTTACATTGTCTTTCAGCTCTTTAAGGCCATCTGTGTGAGTACCACTGATGAGCCTTGCCCTCTCTGAGGCCTCACAGGGCTGTGAGGATTAACTCATCAATCTAAGTAAAGAGCTAACTGTATATAGTAAATGCCCAAAGTATTTGCTCATATTAGTTCTATTTTTATTCAAAACAATGGCTCTCCTTGACTTCTGCAATTCTAACAAGGCAAACGATGAATGCAGATTAGCAAAATACTGAAAAATTGTACCACTGTAAACTCATAAATCTTTTTCCTTCCTTATTGCTTATGAGCTGGGGCCACAGGCACTGAACCATACCCCTGACTGGTCAGGAGCTCAACAGTAAGCACGTCCTGTTGCCAGTACAAAGGGACATTTCTGAGAGGGAATGAATGAACCCACCCCCTGAATTCTCTCCTTTGACGACTAAAGGACAGGTCCCATTTAGTGCAGATTTGAATTATGTGAATTTTAAAAAGCATGACATAAAATATGAAAACGCTAAAGTCTCATTTTATAAGCGGAATTTGAAATCCTGTGTCCTCTAATTTACATCTCAAGTTAAGTAAATTCTTCAGGAATGCATCCCTTGCATAAAATCCAACAGCCCTGCACAGGAGTTTATGCACTTGATTAGCAACACAGAGCACCTGCACTCTAGATTGTTTCTTGTCTGGGGAAAAACATCTGCACAACAGTAATTATCAACTCATATATATATAACCTACTGAAAGAAATTATATTTATGAAGAATTTTCCCAAAGGATTTAACTTTGAATCTAGCCAGGCATTCAGAAAGCAGCATACTTGGAGTTCATGCTCTTGGCCTCAGCAAAACTGCTTCCTCTGGGCTGTGTTTTGTCATTATATACATGGCTTTTATCATGGAAAATTAAAAGAAATTGTCTTATGGAATCAATGCAGGGGGCGGGGGATGGGGTGAGTTCCCCCAAGTGAGAAAGTCAAGTCCTACACTGATAGAGAAGGAGGGTCTTGACCGTGCACAAGAAAGAATTCAAGGGAACGCCAGAGCTAGAGACCAAAAAAAAAAGAATTTATTAGAGAAAGAATAATGCTCCATAGACAGATTGGGGTCTCCTCTCAGAGACAGAGAGTGAAAGGGACCTAGTGTTGAAGGAATCCAGTTTGTTTGTGATTCCTAGTTTCTATGATTTGGGGTTTAAAGACTTTGTTTCCTTATGTTCCTTTGATGGTATGGGTATGCAGTGTGAAAGACATGTTAGGAATCTTCCTTTGTTCCATAGGTTCTCTCATGGCATGGCCATAGGGTATGAATGGTTAGGTTTATTTTATGTAGGGTATGACTTAAAGACTCTGTTTTCCTTTCATGTATGGGTAACTAGTTTGT